CCCCCACCCCCACCCAATCCTGCAGATGCGAAGGTCTGATCTATGACAGCAGCGCCTGAAGGCACCGCTGAGGCCTCGAACCAGGATGATGGGCAGACTAACTGCTGTGGGAGAGCCCGTCCTCCATGTCTGTGCAGATGGGCAGGTCGGGCTGGCCGCATTCGGACACGCTCACGGCAGGGCCTTCCACCAGCCAGGACGCCCATGTCATGTGGCAGATACGTGAGCCCACACACAACACGGCTGGTGAGGAGACAGGAAATGTCTCCTCCTTGGATGAGCCGAGGCCCCTGACAGCAGTCACCCTAACCGTCCACAGAAGGTGCCGCCTGTGAGAGCCCACCTGGGGCAGACGTGGCCCCTAAGTTCTCCCTGACCTACACAAAACCCACGGGGGCAGGCCGGCGAGAAAGCGGGACTCAGAGGGATCAGGAGGCACCGGGCCCAGGACCTCCGGCCAACACCAGGCAGAGGGGAGCTTGCACAGCATCAAGTTCACAGGCCAGAGACGTGCGGTACCCGTGAGCTGTGAACACGGAGGGGCACAGAGGCCCCACTGGGTACTGGACGGAACTCTGGCCACACCGCCCAGGGACCTGGCACCTGGCTGGACCCACCACCCAGCACTCGTCGGAGACGCGTGGACACTCCCAAGATGCCCCACGTTGCATAACCCCATTTTGCATGAGACACACGGGGGGCCTCACAGACTCGAGGAGCTGACCCTCTCAGTGTCTGGATCTCCCCAGGGAGCCAAAAGCACCCAGACCCCAGCACAGGGCCCAGGACGCGCACCCATAGCTTTTCGCTACGTCCACTTCCCCCTTGTTCCTTGGCAGTTCTGGGCTCCTGGGAGAGTGTGCTGGTCCCACAGGAGGAACAGCCCTTAGCGTGGACACCTCCTCTCCCACCTTGACCGTGTGGCGGGGCACTGGGACAGACAGCAGAGGAGGAAACGCCCCCCGATCGAGGACCCCAGGTATCGCTGGCAGCCAAGCTGTCAAGGGTCTGGACGCCTCTGGGGACGACAGTCATGGTTCTGAGAGGACCCAAGTCAGGCCCACCCCTGAGGTGATGTCGGGCCTATGGGAAGCGGTGCTGGAAGAATCTTCAGTTTTCATCCCATACCCATTCAACCCTTCCTACAAGGGGGAGTGCGTAAGCTCTCCTTCCCCTTCACACCCCTACGCGGACAGCGTCCCTCCACGCACCCCCCGCCTGGTGGACAGAGAGGCCCACATCCCAGAGGGAGGGAGGCCACACCCGCTCGGGGGCATCCTGCAGCTAGTGACGGCGTGTTGTCAAGCCCGCGCCCAGCCCAGGCTCCCGGCACGGACCCCCCCGGCCCCCT